CTGTTGTGAGTTGCCCTTCCATTCCCACCATCTAAACCTTAACCATCCGTTACAACTTAGTTTAAGTGTCTCCCACTCCAGGAATGTGTTCTTCAGCCCACCACTTTCTTTCTTTTCTTTAAGCCCTATAGCAGCATGTCTCTTACCTGCTCCTAACATCTGTCACACTTTATCTTATGTTACAGGTGTGGGGGGGCTCATTTTTCCAGGAACTGTCTCATTCCTTGCTGTGTTCCAGATCCTATCACAATGCTTGGTACTCCACAGCAGGTGCTGGACAAAAGTTTGCTGATAGCACTGGAACCTGTAAGAATGTACCCTCTGCCCACCCCCCCACACACACATCTTGTCCTTAATCCCGGAGGCTTGCAGCGAGCAGAGCACCCTTCACCAGTGGGGAGAGCACTTCTGAGCCACAGAATGTTCACCAGCTTATTCCCTCTGTCTCTTGGTGGGTTTTGTTCACAGAGCCTCTTAGGGTGGGTTTAGGGGACTAAAATGATCAAGAATCTGCTCTTATTTCACAGAGAACAAAAACTCTGGCTTTTGAGGCTGGAGTGCTGGAAGCAAATATGAAAAGATTTTGGGGTCCTCTCCATCGCCCCTCCAGGCTGGAGGACCCTGACTCAGCTGTGTACATTGGAGTCACTTCTACTTTCCAATTCACCAGGGGAGGGTGGAAGTGGCCTTGTTAGCCCACGGAAGGCAAGGAACAGCTCTTCTTCCCTCCCTCTGTCCCCATGAAAGATCCAGGGTTAGGAGTCTGCAGAGGGAACTGAAGGAGAGGGGTTTTTGGGACATCCCGAGCAGGCCAGAGGAGGGCTGCCATGACAGACTCAGGGGACGTCTGAGAGCCGGCTGACTTTCTGAGCTCATCTTAAGCTCTGGGAACTGGGGGTAAAGGCTGCCCAATTCAACCACACCCCAACTATAGCTTTCTTCTAAAAAGCTATAGATCTGGGCCAGCCCAGTGGAGCACTGCTACAGTGCGTCGCTTGGGAGCACAGCGGCCCTCCCGCCGAGGGTTCGGATCCCACATACAGACCGGCCGCTCACTGGCTGAGCGAGGTATGGGTGCAACACTGAGGGTTGCGATCCGTTGCCGGTCACTAAAAAAGACAAAAAAAGGAAAAAAAAAAAAAAAAAGCTATAGGCCTGTAAGGGATATGGAGCTTCTTTTGGGGGTAATGAAAATGTTCTAAAATCTATTTTAGATGTGATGGTTGCACAACTCTTAAAAAAGACAAAAAAAGGAAAAAAAAAAAAAAGCTATAGGCCTGTAAGGGATATGGAGTTTCTTTTGGGGGTAATGAAAATGTTCTAAAATCTATTTTAGATGTGATGGTTGCACAACTCTCTGAATACACTAAAAGCCACTGAATTGCACACTTTAAATGAGGAAGGGTGAGGAAGGCATCCCTACGGCGGGAGAAGAGCCCAGCATGGAGTGTCAGAGCCTGAGTGGGTTGCAGAAGGCATCTGTGAGGCAGGAGGTGGCGGCGGAGAAGAGTTTGGCTGCTGCAAGGGGAGTGATAGTAAATATATTAAGGATCCTGGATTAATAATATATTAAGCCAGATTTCAGAAAAGTGCCTTGGAGAAGTTACCCCCTAGTACCAATGAGCAAGCAACAATGAGCAAACAATTTAGATCTCAGTTTCTAAATACCAATAGCTGATTCCAGGGCTAGGGCAGGTGAAGCACAAGATGAACCTGGAACATCTCATTATGCCAGAAAGTGAGGAAGTGCTCAGCGAATGATCGAGACGTGTCAAAAGGACACAGAAGCCAGCTTGAAGGGGCTCCCAGTGGCCAAAGTGGGAACAATTTGAGCATCAAAATAATAAACAATTGTATTATAACCCATTGAATAAAACAGGAATACATGAGTTCATACAGATATGAATAAAAAATTGAATGACTTTAAAATTTGATGAAGAATGAAATGTTTACATAGTTTCTAAGTATCTCCCTACAAAATACCTATTAAGAGGGGAAAAGTGTTACTTTAGAGTGGAGAAAGCTAGCTGTAGTGGGCCGAATGGTGGCCCCTGGAAAGAAATGTCCATATCTTAATCCCAACAATTTGTGAATGTTACTTTGTTTAGAAAAAGAATCTTTGCAGATGTAATTAAGTTAAGGATCTTGAGATGAAGAGATTACCTTGGATTATCCAGACAGGCCCTAAAATTTAATGACAAGTGTCCTTCTAAGAGACACACAGAAGAGAAGACATGGAAGAGAAGATGATGGAGGCACAAATTAGAGTGATGTGACTACTTGCCAAGGAACACCAAGGAATGCTGACAGCCACCAGAAGCTGGAAGAGGCAAGGAGGGGTTCTCCCCTAGAGCCTTTGGAGGAAGTGTAGACCTGTGACACCTTGACTTCGACTTCTGGCCTCTATAGAACTACAAGAGAATAAATTTCCATTGTTGTGAGACACCGGTTCATGGTAATTTATTACAGTAGCCACAGAAAACTAATACACTGGCAGACATCACCTTAAGCAAGTGATCAAAGGAAACATCTTCAGTAATGGAATAAATCAAAATCATGCACCATTTGATAGGATGTAAAGAGAGGGACACAGCATTGTTTCTGTGACATTCTTGCCAAAGACCTAAATCTAATCATGACAAAACATTAGACAAGCCCAAATTGAGGGACATTCTATATATGTAACCCTCAAAAGTGTCAAGGTCATGAACATCAAGAAAAGAATGAAGAATTACGCCAGAATGAAGGAGACTAAAGAGTAATGAGTAATTTTGGACTTGATCTTTTTGCTATAAAGGACATTATTGGGACAATCATCAAAATTTGGATGGGATCTGAGAATTAGATGGTATTAACATATGAATATGAATTTCCTAATTTTGATGGCTATATTGTGCTCATGTAGGAGACTGTCCCTGTTTGTAGGAAATACAAACTAAACTATTCAGGGTGATGAGGCAACTTGTTGGCAATTTATTCCCAAATGGTTTGGGGAAGAAAAGTTCTAAGTAACGTACTGCCAACATTTCTGTAAATTTGTGATTGTTTCAAAATAAAATATTTATTAAAAAATGAAAAAAGAAAAGGATACTGAGTTGAGAAGACAAATTGTTTTTCCTCTGCTCTCATACCACAACAATCAGCACAGAAGACTTCTGTGACCAAATGTCTGTGGGGTTTTCCCCACACATCAAGCGGTTCTCCAGCGGACACCAGCTGGTAACTTCTGATCCAATTCAATTCTGACACTTCCTGGGGATAGTATTAGGTCCCACAGATTGAGGGTTCAGTCCCACAAGACTGCCTCCCACTTAAGATGCCTATTGCAAGCCCCAGGCTCTTTCACCTGTGCTTCTGATCAATTAGCTATAAATTGGGGTTCCCACAACCCTCTCCTTGGGTTTGATTAATTTGCTAGAGTGTCTCACAGAACTCAGGGAAATGCTTATCAGTCAATTATAAAGGGTATTACAAGGATACAGATGAAGAGATGCACAGTGTAAGGTATGGGGATGGGGAGCAGAGCTTCCATGCCCTCCCCGGGCATGCCACCCTCCAGGAATCTCCATGTGTTCAGCTATCCAGAAACTCATCGAACACAGACCTTTGGGGTTGTATGGAGGTTTTATTACGTAGGACTGATTGATCAAATCATCGGCCATTCATGATCAACTTAACCTTCAGCCTCTCTCCCCTCTCTGGGGCTGGGGGGTAAGGCTGAAAGTCCCAATTCTCTAATTCTGTCTTGATCTTTCTAGTGACCAGCCCCCATCCTGAAGCTACCTAGGGGCTGCCAGCCACCAGTCAGCTCACTGGGATACAAAAAGATTATTAGCACTTTGAAAATTCCAAGGATTTTAGGAGTTGTATGCCAGAAGACAGGACAAAGACCAAATATATATTTCACAATATCACAGATAGAAATCATATAAATGATTATATATGCATAGGCATATAGACTGGAAGGGAATCTACAACAATGATACCATTAATATTAAGGAGGTAAAATTGTAGTTAACATTCCTCTGCTCTTGTATCCTGAATTTAGTTCAATAAATATGTGCAGAGGACCTGCTCTATGGCAGGCATTTTGCAGGTCCTAAGGGTACCAAAAAAAGTAACAAGGCTGGCCTGCAGTCTGCAACAGAAAGTATTGTGGGATATGGGTAAGTGCTGGATGAATGCTGAGGACAGGGTGCTGCTGGAACATAGGGGACACCTAACTCTAATGCGGAGGGGGGAGGGGGACCTTGGAATGTGATCCTCTTGTTTCTCTATTAAGAATAAGAACATTTTCGGGCCGGCCCAGTGGCGCACTGCTACAGTGCGCTGTTGGGAGCGCGGTGGCGCTCCCGCCGAGGGTTCGGATCCCACATACAGACCGGTTTCCGCTCACTGGCTGGGCAAGGTGTGGGAGCAACACCGAGGGTTGCAATCCCATTGCCGGTCCCGGTCCGGTACAGGCGCGACACTGAGGGTTGCGATCCATTGCCAGACACACACACACAAAAAAGAATAACAACATTTGTGAGGCCTCCCTGAAAGATGTTGGGAGTCCCATCTGCACTGGGAGCCCCGAGGAGGGAGAGGAATGTGGAGAATTCAGAATCTACAGAGCATGGGCGGATGGTGGGCCAAGCTTCAGGGCTCAGTCATGGGAGAGGAGAATCTGGTCCGAAAGTGTGGGGTGGGATTGTAGTTAGGCTCCAGGAAAACCTCCAGGGTGTGTGTGGAGGTACCTGATGGACCCCTCAAGGAAAGAGAATGGGGATGGGGCCAGATTGCCATCATTGGTCCTCATGCACAGGCACTAGGGGAGCCCAGGACAGCCCTGGCCCAGGCCATGCACACACTCTGCTCCTACAGCCTCACATCCTCATCTGGGCTGCCGGCTGAGCTGGGGCCCTGGAGCCAGTCCCAATCTGTTTCCTTCTATTCTTTGACAGGAAGCTCCTGGAGAGCCAGCCCCCACCTCCACCCCACCCCAGCACTCCCTTTCTCCTCTCCACTATGGACAGAGCCTCTGCTGAGCAGCTGCCTGCCTGCCACATACCCAGCTGATATGGAGACCATCGGAGCTACGCAGCTGTACTGGGCCATCCTGGGCTTCCTCCTCCTCCAAGGTAAGGAGCGTCTGCTGCTTTCCTCCTGCAATTCCTCTCCTGTGGCTGGCAACCCTGGGTGCCCGCCCTCCTTCAGGACACATGCCATACATGCTCTCCATCCAGGGCTGTGCCCCAGAGAAATTCCAGAGCCTTTCCACAAAGGGGATCAGTTGGGTTGGGGGGTGGTCATTACCAGGCAGGGGCAAAATAGAGATATGGTTAAAGTCTTTTGTGGTTAAATTCTTTTGTGAGAAATTTTCCAGGGTGAACTGGGGCCCCCACAGTGGCTGGCCTCCTGAAATGTGGGAAGCAGCTGTCTCGGTGTGAGACGGAGGCCGGAAAGCTCCTTCCAGGGTGTGCGCACGCCCAAGAAGCTGTAGCTGCCCCACTGGGCTTCACCCTCTGGTCTGGGGGCAGGGCTGACCACGACCACTCTATTGACTGTTCTAGCACAAAATTGGCTACACCTTGGGCTTTACAGGTGCTCTTTTTTCTTCTTTCATATAAGGAGTAACAACCTGGGAATACCAAATGTTGACTTTAAGCTCAAATCATAGCAAGAGAGACTCAGGTTAGCCACAAAGAACTATTTACTAAGGAGCATGTATATATCATTTTCACTCGGGGACTAGATGAGATGGCTTCCAGAGGAGATTACTCAGAAACAACACCTCTGAGACAGGGCTCTGGGGTCTCATAGGGGTCCTCTCATTAAGCAGCAGTTGCTGGGAATCATGAGAAGTCCAGGACATTCTGACTCACGGGGCAGCAACTTCCCTTCAGTCATCCCTTCCCTACTCCCACCTCACCCTCCCAGGTCCTCTGTGGAACACTTGTGAGCCTGTGCTCAAAGCAGCAGAAAGAGAGTGCAAGAGTGCTTGGATGGGGAGGCGTGATGGCCCTTTTTCAGTGGTGGGATGAGAAGGCCTGAGTACTAGAACACTCTGCCTCCAGGAGAGGTCAGACATTTCTCTAAAAGCCCATGGATGAGGGGTAAAACTCTGATTGCCCCCATCCCCGCACCCCTGCACCCTCCACCCCAGGATAGAGTCACAGATCTGGGGCTGAGGGACTAGGCTGTAGTGGACACTGCAGGTGAGACTTATGAGGTGGCACTTTCACGGACCTAGACTTCTCCTAGCTTCCCTGCCCACTGTCCTCTCCCAGACAAGTGCCAGGGCTCCCACATGCCGTATATAAACTCCTCCTGAACCACTGTCTGCCCTCGAGTTTCCTAACTTCTCATCCCGAGAGCTCAGAGCACTTACTGTCTCCTCCGTTCTGAGACTGAGGAATCCTTTTGAGCATATTTGGGCCCACAGAGGGACTTGACTGTGGATACATGGAGCCAGGGAAGACTTGAGACTTGGAGTATTTGACAGAATGGGGCAAAAATAAAAACGTCTAGCATTTACTGAGTACGTACTATCTGTCCGGCACTGTGTTAAAGTACTTTATATGCATTTTCTTTTCCTCACAACTTATTAGGTACTAAAATCACTTGCATTTTAAAGAAGAGAACACTGAGGCCCAGGTCAGATCGTGCATGACAGAGCCAGGATTTGAACTCAAGCCTGTCAACCTCTAAAATCTGTGATTTTAACTAATAAACTATGCTCTTGAGGAAAACGGGGAGGGGGGCAAGTAGATAGACTGGGAGACCAGGAAAATGAGAAATTCCTGTGGCCAGGGTTCTTTGGGCATCTACATGCCCAGTGGTGAGAGGCACTCCAGCCTGCAGAAACGGATGCTCCCTGAGTTTCTCCCCTATCCACAGAGGAATCTTTATTGGTGACAAGTTTGAGTATAGGGGAGGGACAGGAGACAAAGAAAGAGCAGACAACTGGGACTTAAAGTGTGTGACTTTGGAACACCTCCCAAGCCACTACATAGTTTTCTTTCTAGATAAATGAACTGTGCCTTCCCACCAAAAACTAAACTTACAGCACTTAGATGGTACATAAGACATGCTGCATCAGTAACGAATAGATGTTTTCAGGATGTGCCTTGGATTGAAAGGGTTCTTCTAGGGTCATCTTCAGCTAGAAAGGGTTTTCTCTGGCCTGGGTTCCTACAAGTTTTAACTCCCCTCTTGACTCCCCACCCCACAAGGAAATGGGGCTCTCAGAAATGGTGACCTGGAAAACCATGTTCCAGGGTTTGGGGAAGCTTGGGCTTGGAAACAATTAATTCTACACTATCAAGTGATAGCCCCGTGGAGTCCCACCCCACAAGGAAATGGGGCTCTCAGAAATGGTGACCTGGAAAACCATGTTCCAGGTTTTGGGGAAGCTTGGGCTTGGAAACAATTAATTCTACACTATCAAGTGATAGCCCCGTGGAGGAAGGCAGTGGCTTAAGAAAAATAAACAGAACAGCAAGCTGCCGTAGACTGGGGTGGGCCCCTGACACTCAGCCACCTCAGTCCACCCCGGCCTGGTCTTGCTGCATCCCTGACAATGAGAGACCAAGAGAGCAGGAGGGCCAGGCCGGGGGCTGCAGTCCTAGCCCAAGAGGAGGGACGGGAACCCAGCTGGGCGGCTCCACTTCCCCACGTTGTTTTCCTTTCACATTGTTCACAGGTTTCAAGAATGATTTCATTGTGGAAAATGAGCAAACACAACCTGACCCTTCAGGTCCCACACACACAGCAGGATACACATAGCAGCACGCAAGTGCACACAAGTCTGCATAGAGGCCCACAGACATACAAATGCACGTACAGAAAAGCTAATGAGGCTTCTGACAGGACTCCTGGTAACTGACTCCTCTCTGGATTTGGCCAATAATAATCATTTCCAAGTAGCCTCTGCCTATGATAGTAAATTGGCCATTTGTTCTAGAGCTTCCCTGCCTCCTGTATATACCTCAGAACTTGCTTCCTGTGCAGGCCCCTACATCCAACTGGGGAAGGGCAGAGAGTTAGCCCTGATATAAGCTCTGTACCCTAACCCCATCTTATTCACTTTCCCATCCTCCCATCTCTTCCCCTTGGGGCAGGGCCCTGATGACAATCTTCACGGGGGAAAACAAATGGCCCAGCGGTAGTGGTAGCACAGGGTGAACATTAGCCTAGAGGCCTAGAGTGCTGGGTCCTTGTCTAGATGTGGCAGGTCACTAGTTTAAAATAACCCCTTCCCCTGGCCTTGTCAGATTCATATAATACCCATGTAGGATTGAGGAGATAGGAAAGGGCTCTGGGACTTTGAACCATGAGGTTCTGGTGATGGTGCTGTTGAGTCATAGTCTCAGAAGAAGCCAGCACTGCAAGCTAGAGCCACGTCCTTTAAGCCTCTGTCAGGTGTGTCTGCCCTCCAGCATGGGAGGCTTGGAAAGCCACAAGGCCTGGGTTTCTCTGTGGGCTCTGTGCTGGGCAGGAGAACTACCAAGCTAGTTTATGTGTTTTGCTTTCCCTTGCAGGCCACAACTCCCAGCCAATGACAATCCAGACCTCCAGCCCTCAGGGTAAGACCAAACACACGGGGCCTTCTCCAGCACCTCTGAGGCCTAGCACTTAGGGAGGGTGAGAGGGGCTTTAGTCAGTCTATCACTAACCTCAGGTGATTGGGGCTAGCGCCAGCTCTCAGGAGCTCATCCAAGGCTGAGCTCATCTAGGGATTCTTTCCAGCCTGGCCAAGTCGAATGTGTCTTGAAAGAGGAGAGAGATGAATGGTGGGGGTGCAGTGGGGAGCAAGACTCACCACATATAGGGAAAAAAGAGGGAGACAGAGCCGTAGGAGACAGCAGACCCCTCAACCTCATCTGATCTGTTTCAGGAGCCTTCAGCAGTCTAAGTCTGACCCCAGAACCAATTTCCCCCAACACAGGTGAGTGAGTGTTGCTGAGGGGCTGATCTCCTACCTCAGACCCCTCTCACCTGAGGCCCAGTCATTCAGATTTGCTGCTGCCCAGGGGTTCTCAGATGAGTGAAGGAGTGTGGTGTCACCAAGTGTGCCCCACTTCCAGCTCCCCATCTGCCTCTGTCCTTTCAGTAGACATCCCTTCCTCGGAGTCTAACAGTCTAAACCCTCTGCCCAGCATCAGTACCTCCCATGTACTCTGCCATTCAGGCTACAAATGCCACCCAGGGAGGGCCTGATGAGGAACCAGACACTGTTTCTGCTTGAAAGGAGAATATAGACTAGTAGGGTGACAGACAAGGAAACAGGTCCTCATAGAGACAAGTAGAAAGCAAGGTGAAAAGGGCCGTGATGGGCATAAACAGAAGGTGCTGTGGGAGCCCAGACAAATATCAACCACTTCAGACCTGAGGGCCAGAGACGATTCCCAGAGTGAGTGGCCTCTGAAGCTGAGCCAGAGAAGGAGTCAGATGAACAGGTGAAGACTGTGGGGTGGAGGTGGGGTAGGGTATATTCCAGGCAGAGGGACCTACACAAGTAAAGGCCCAGAGATGGAGAGAATGAGCCCTTCTGGAATTGAAAGCAGTAGAGAAAAGGAAGATTTTGGACTGAAGAGCATTCCCTGTGCATATGCTGGCCGAGGCCCTGAGCAGGCCTGCGTGCGCTTCCCAATCTGCAGCATCTCCAAAGAAGGCCTCGCAGGCCCCCATGGTAGCGAGCAAACCCGTAACGCTGATGTCAAGCACCGTGGATGGTCACTCCCCATCCTCGCTGGGCCTGACTCGATCCCAGCCACAGGAGCACACATCAGGACTTGGTGAGTACCTAGGGCAGATGGAGGGTGGCGGGGGAAGGACACGGTTCTGTCTGGATGGGTTCCTTCTTTCCCTCTTCAGGAAGCCCAGGTGCTGCCCCACAATCAGGGGTCTTGAGGCCAGGATCCACATCACTGGCGCCCTGGATTGGGGAAGAATGAGAGAGGTTTGGTGGGGAGTAGAGACAGGAACTTGGGCCTGGTCACAGTGAAGATAATAGGAGCCTGGACTTGGGACAAAAGCTTAGTAGAGGGGAAGCATGGGGAGGGGAAGGAGACCCCAAAGTGAAGGAAAAGGGGAGGAAGAAAAGGTTGGGAACAGGCTAGACTCTCCTCAGGGCGGGGTGGCCTTCACCCAGCAGCGCGAGGGGAGATCTGGGGAGGGGGAAGGCCCTTCATCGCGGCCGTTTCACGGTGCAGGCCCAGGCACCGGCGGCGGCGGCGTGAGTAGGGGCATGTCCTGTCTGTGCTCACACGAGAAGGAGCCGGCGGGTTACATCTGTAACCCTTTCTCTCATCCTATCCCTTGGCTCTTGGATTTTGTACACATCCCAGACTTATTTGGGGCGGTTGGGGTGGGGGGTGAGGAGAGATAAGGAAATGGAATGGCCATCAGGCCTGAGGTACAATGACTTGAGGAGTGGAAGAAAGGGGGACCACACCACTTCATGAGACGGCCAGAAACCCGTGCCCCTTACTTAGCTGGCAGCCTGGCTTGTTGGGTCAGAGCCTGAGGGTAAGCATCCGGTGCTGCTCTTTCTTCCACCTCAGCTCTTGGCAAAACACAGATTTCTACCTTGCCCAGTCTGGCTTCCTATCTCTGCAGCATAAATCTCTTTCCTCTGGGCCCCCAGGGGGTGGTGGTGGGAAGAGCACAATGAGAGAAACATCCTGAACCTTCTGGAGCTCTCTGGAACCAGTAACACGAGCGACTAGCAATGCTGTTCACATGGTCCACATCACCACAGCTCTGATCTCTGTCCTCATGGGATCTGGGCGGAGTGGCAGAGAGGAAGCCTTTTTTGTAGGGTGTGAGCTCTCTTTGCAGTCTTTTTTATTTTTATTTTTTAAACAACATAGATACAAACTTTAATACTTTCTTCTCTTGCCCCGAGACTTTTAGCTTAGCCCCTGTGATTCAAGCTCCTCACTCTGTAAATGACTATCACATAGACAAAGATTCGGTCTCCTGGATAATCAAATGGTGCCTTCTTCAATGAGGACCTCGAGGGCATTGGTGCTGAGCCCAGGGTCAGGTTGCTATAGGTTATGGGGTCAGGATTCCACTGAAATGAGTCTAGAAGCTGAGTCTGTCTTCTTCTCCAGACCGTCCTCCAGCTTCTGGTATCTTCTGTTGCCCTTCGCCTTCCCCCTGCATCTTCTTCAGTTGGCGGGAGACTGGCCAGTGGCTGCTTGGGAGGGAGTCCCATTCTTGTATCTTCATAGATAGTCTCTCTGCAGTCTTTACCTGGGAGAAGTAGGAGGGAAGCTAGCTCTCTCTGGTAAACCGAGTCAGTCCCCTTCACTGATGTTCCTTACCCAACTCCATTTTAGACTCATCTCAAAATGTTACTCCCAATTCAAACACCATGAACTTGAGCGCAAGGGAAGACTTGACCATCCTGCCCAGCCCCACGTCACAGACTGTGCTCACTGTGGCTGCATTTGGTGAGAGAGGGAGGGGAAGGTGTGGCGTGGGAGGGGACCCCACCCCTGGAATTAACTCGAACTCTGGAAACACAAGTTCAAATCTCAACCATTTGTTCCATGAAAGACTGGCCATGAGGAAGACCTGGTGGGAGGGAGACTGCACTGGCCTGGGAGGGAGCTCTTCCTGGCTCTACTGGGCTCCATGATCTTATGGGAAGTTGGAGCTGGGCTGTGGAGCCTACTCTGGCAAGGGGCAGCAAGCCAAGAGCTCATTTGTTCAGCAGAGAAGTGGAATTCACTTTATTCCTGGGGCCTGTCTGCTTAGCCAGGAGGGGAATTCTGAACTCTTGTTGCTCCCTTTTGTCCCCTCCTCCACCTGCCTTTCACCCCATTCTTTTCCTTGTTCAGGTGTTATCAGCTTCATTGTCATCTTGGTGGTTGTGGTGATCGTCCTAGTCAGTGTGGTCAGTCTGAGGTTTAAGTGCCGGAAAAACAAGGAGTCTGAAGGTACAGGCCCCGCTCTGCCATCTTTGCTGGGAGACCCAGAACTAGGGTCCAAGGCTGACCCCAGCTGGAGTTGAGGGAGGGAATGGCACACAAGCACCACTCGATGAGTTGGGAGGGTCCCCTTAGGTGGGATTTGAGGGGAAGGCTGGGCTTCTGAGTTACAGCATGCAACCCCCAATCTGTACCTTTGGGTTTTTACAGATCCCCAGAAACCAGGGAGTTCGGGGCTATCTGAAAGGTAAGACTGGCAGAAGTGTAAGGGAGGCAGCTTCTATCTGACATCCCATTTCCCCACTACAAGAGGAAACAAACACTTCCTGCCTTCTAAACACACACATATACACCCTCCCTCCACACCACACACAGACACCACATATACCCCCCCAATACCCCCCCACCACACACCATGCACACCCACAAACCACACCCTCCCACACATTGCACACACACCACATATACCCCCTACACCTCTCCCACACCACACACACACACCACACATACCCCCCAACACCGACCCACCCTACACGCCCCCCACGCCACACACACACACACACACACACACACACACACACACACACACACACACACACACACACTATCCTGACAGAGTTTCCACTGAGGCCTGGGCTAGGGATGGCAGGAAAGGGCAGACCTGAAAGGAACATGTGACAGGAGATGGACTGGAATTCGTGAGCCCCAGGGCTAAGTCTCTAATGTAAGAAGACTAATTTAAGAAGACATTCCCTCTAAGATTAGGAACCACTTATTGAATACCTACTATGTGCCAAGCACAATGGTATATATTTTGTAATATTATCAAAAATCCTACCAGCAATTTTTCAAGGTAGATATTATTTCATTTCACACATTTAAAAATTTGATGTTTAAAAGAGGTTGTAACTCAGTTAAGATCAAAGTAGTAGGTAGTAAAACCAACATTTAAATACAAGTCTTTTGGGCTTCAAAGCACACTCTAATTTCATTATGGTCCACCACCAAAATGTAGATTTTTCAAAGCAAAGTCCTGAGGTTCAACAAGTCCACAGTTCCTTGACTACCCATTGCCCTCCCCCTTCACCCTTCCTACCCCAGCTGCTCTACAGCCAGTGGAGAGAAGGAGAGCATCACCCTCATCTCCATGAAGAATATCAACATGAATAACAGCAAAGGATGCCTCTCGGCAGAGAAGGTGAATTCTTCTGTCCCTTTGCTTCCTTCCCCTAATTCACTTTCCCCCTCCTCCTCCTCCTTCCTGGCTCTACTCCCCCAGCCAGAAAGGAGGTACTTTCAAAGACCCAGGCTCTGGGGCCGGCCCGGTGGCGCACTGCTATAGTGCGCCGCTTGGGAAGCGCGGTGGCGCTCCCACCAAGGGTTCGGATCCCACATACAGACCGGCCGCTCACTGGCTGAGCGAGGGGCAGGAGCAACACCGAGGGTTGCAATCCCGTGGCCGGTCCCGGCCCGGTACGGGCGCGACACTGAGGGTTGCGATCCGTTGCCGGTCACGAAAAAAGACAAAAAAGGAAAAAAAAAAAAGACCCAGGCTCTTCTCGCCTCTTTCCTACCCTGCCACTCCCAAGAAGCTCACCCTTTCTCATTATGTATTTATTTTGCAGGTTCTTTAAGAGCGACTTTGGGTCCCCATGGGATAAAGCAGCTGCCCCGCCTGTGAGGAGGAAGAGATGGGATTGGTAGAGGCAATGAACCACATATAAATTATTATATTGTTTTGTGTCTGCTCCCAGATCTAAAGGACACTAGCATTCCTCCAGATCTGGGAGCAAGCTACCAGTATGAGAGACAGTTTCCCATATGGATAGCCACTCAAGAAATATGGCCTGCTCTTCCCACCTTCTCAGAGTCATAGAAAAGAGCAAGGAAAACGATGAGGTGGATTGATCCTTTCTACTTTGCATTAAAATTATTTTCTGGCCTGCTCCCATGCACATTTCTTAACAGAGTGTTCCAGCAGCTATTGGGCCTTCTTTCCTGGGCCACAGATGCATTCAAGTTTCTGCCCCTGTGGGCAGCTTTCTGAGAAACCTGGGAGATGGAGGGGACTTTTTGTCAGGTTTGCCTTAGTTCACCTGATTTATTAAGTAGGGTTGAGGTGGATGACTAACCACCCCAATAGAAGACAGAAACAAGGGGCTATAAACAGTGACCAATCGTCACAGATAAAGAAGTTTTAAATTTGAGCACAATGCATTTTAACTAGGAAACTCCAGTGGTGACAGCTGAATGATATGAGGACAAATGTCCTCTGCCTGCCCCAGGATAGACACTTTGGTCCTAGCCATGAAACGAACACTGGGCAAGGTTTGCCATGAGGATAGGTCTGTGACTTCATAAACCAAAAACCCACCACCCACCTGCTTTACTCCATATGGCTGTTATCTTTGTGTCCTAGAATAAAGGGCTGGCCTATTAGCTCAATTAGTTAGAGTGCAGCATTATAACACCAAGGTCAGGAGTTCAGATCCCCATACTGGCCAGCCACCAGAAAAGAAAAAAAAAAAAGAATAAAAGATTGCAGAAATACTGTAATTTAAGAAGGAGGAAAAGAAAGGAGGTATGTTTCCTTAGTAATAGGAATGTATGTCTACCAAGACACTGGTTTGGAAATGATTCTTTGTTGGGGACAATCAAGGGAAGAGTCATTTCTTTGTGTCTGCAGGGAGTGTTTAACTTTTAAGCATCTGCTAATCGGCAGTTTAGAATACAGGGAGAACACACCTTGCCCATTCTGAAGGAACAATATGCTATTTTCTTCTGGTTTAGGCTTCACAAGGTGACATGAGAGAGAAAGCCTAGAATAGAAAGTTTCATTCTCCCTGTCTCATTAAAACTATTAAAGTGAGGTTGAAAAAACCTACTGGATTCTAAAATCCTCTGAGGAGAGAAGAAAAAAAAAAAATCCTCTGGGGCAGAGCCTGCTCATGTCTATAGCTCCTGTGTGACACTGCCCAGCACATCCTAGGTGATAAAAACTGGCTCGTAGTTAACCAGCACATCCTAGGTGATAAAAACTGGCTCGTAGTTAACAAAAATCTGGACATAAGACTGGTATCTGCCACAGACTTGCAGCTTGACTGATGAAATCATCCCCCTTCCTCGAGCCCATTTTCTTTCTTTTAGTGAGGTGGCTGGACTACTTGGCCTTCACTGTCGTTTCTAGTTCTTATATCCACAGTTCTACAAACTTTAGATGTAAGAAAAAATGAACACAATCTATTGAGTAGAGATCACACTGAGTGGGAGCCAGAGACAAGTCTTAGGTGATTCAACATTCTCCAGACTTCCATTTCCCCATGTATTAATGGGGGAGAATGATCCCTACCTGGCCCTGTCTACCTCAAAGGAAGGCCACTGGGTAGGTAAAATGGAATAATAAATGTAGAGATACTTGGGAAGTAAAAGTACCAGTCAGCAATTGTTGCAGATAGCCTGGAGCACCACTGCCCGGGTCCCACTTCAGGACAAAGGCATTTGTTCCCCAGCTGTTGGGAGTGTTGGCTGCTGAGGACTCACAGCTGATTGATGACTGGCTGTTGGGGTGTAGGGGTGGGGATGAAGACCTGGACTCCTTGCCCCAATTTCTCCCCCTGCCCAAACCTACATCCCTCACTCCTAACAGTTGTCACTCCCAGGAGCACTCACCAATAAAACTTTATATGCAAATCTCAGAGTATCAGTCTATTTCCTTGGGTACCCAACCTATGACAGCAATACTACAATATTTTTTTTTTCCTTTTTGTCTTTTTTACTGGCCGGTAACAGGATCGCAACCCTCGGTGTCGCGCCCGTACCGGGGACCGGCAACGGGATCGCAACCCTCAGTGTTGCACCCACGCCGTGCTCAGCCAGTGAGCGGGAACCGGTCACCACATGGGATCCGAACCCTCGGCGGGAGCGCCGCCTCACTCCCAAGCGGCACACTCTCCAGTGCGCCACCGGGCCGGCCCCTACAATATTTTTTAAATAATTCACACATATTTTATTTAAACTACACTGCAAAAAGCACATGACTTGGGCCGGCCCGGTGGCGCACTGGATAGTGCGCCGCTTGGGAAGCGCGGCGG